CTTCAATTAACATGAATTTATTTTGGACAGTTATAATGAGGCACAACGCAGAGTCGAGAAAGGTTATCCTAAAGCGGTGGAAGACGTTTTCCCTGGAATGACAGGGAAGGTGACCGCAGCCTTCCAGTATAAAGGTGGGTTTCGCGAAATGTAACACACAACATTTACTTTCATTCATTTAGCAGACGCTTTTGTTCCAAGAGACTCACAAAAAAGAAAATCTGAAGTAAAATCCCATCTAACACAGTCTTTCATGATCATTTTTAGGTTTCAACTATCTCTTCAGTGGATCAAAGATGTTTGAGTTTGGCGCCTACAACAACAAGCTGCTCCGTGTTCTCAACAACAATTATTTCCTGCCCTGTTAGTCAGTTAAAGTTGAGTTTTTCTTTAAAGCTCAGCAATATACTGCCTGCATGAAGAAGAATCTGAACCGTCAGTATTTTAAAGTAAATTATTAAGTAACTTATTTTACAGAAAAGTAGGTAGTTTAGTATCCTTTTTAATGTATTATGTGCAACAAAAGGACAAAATAAAACATGTCTTGATTGATGCAATTTCAAAATAAAGATTTGAGCAGTTTGATGAAAAATCCGATTTTTGCCTGTTTATTAACCAGCTTGACACCAAATGTGGAAGTGTTAAATAGGGGAGACTGAGACACAGCGTTGGTTAACCAATTAGAAATTACAGGGATAAAGTACAGGGTTAAGTGGCCTTAACTACTATGTATTTACATCAAAAAATTTACTTATTGTGTTCATATTGTATTGCAAAACACTTTTGCTGCTATTGAGGTGGGATATGGGTAAGGTTAGGGACAGGGTTTGGTGGTATGGGTAGGTTTAAGGGTGGGTTATGGTGTAAGGGATGGGTCAACAGTGTAATACTAAATGTAATTACAGAAATTAATTTTAGGCATGTGTCTGCAAATCTACACACTGTGGGCATCACACTTGTTGAATGGGTTGAAATTTTTTAAAAGAAGTTTTGAGTTACATATAAAGTGTAGCATATAAAACACTACACTATCCCTGTCACGGTTGCACTACTGAGTGGAGTGCGGAGCAAGGAACGGAGGGAGACGAGGAGTACATCAATCCAGAGAATTTTAATTATAACAAGGAAAACTCACATTGCACTGGAGTACAGAGCAAGGAACGGAGGGAGACGAGGAGTACATCAATCCAGAGAATTTTAATTATAACAAGGAAAACTCACATAGCACATGTAGACAAATACCGGACGCTGAACTAAAAACAGGGAACACTATTTAAATACATGACAAGACGAGGGGATGACGAGACACACCTGGGATCAATGGAAATAAATGGGGAACACCTGGAATTAAAGCAACATAATCAGGACAGGAACAGGTAACTAACCAAATATGGGCATAAACACTGGGACACAGGGAGCACGTGGGGAACAAAACACAACACAAGCCTGACAATGCCTTACATAGTGCACTTACTATATGAACACAAAAAACATGAGCATTAGAAAAGACTAAATGGTCTTAAATAGTCATGATTGTCCCGTTCACGGTCAAAATTGGCCGCCATAGGAAATAAATGGGACATGCAAAATCTACACAATGCAGAAAAAGTACATAGCAATGAAGACCCTCACACAAAACCTTCTGCTTTTAAAAATGTGTAATAAAACTTCAGGCAAAAACATTTGCCTGAAACCTGAACACACGTCACATTATGAAGACGTTGGGGAATTTTGATATGTTGTACTAAATGCAAAGTTTACTCTGTCACTTTTTTTTGTAACTATGAACAATTGGCCATCCTAAATAAGGTAAAAGAGATGTCTAATGTTCTCGTGTCAGAACACAAATTTCACTTTATTTTATATAAAACAAAGTTACACTGGTCTAACCATAATGAGAAGCTGCACTGTCACAGAACGCCAGGAGAAAACAAGGTAGATCATGATGCAGTAGTTTATTAAAGCAACAAATAATCAGAACAGAACAAAAACTAGACAAAAGGGAACAGAAAACACGATGTAACCTCAAACAATACTGCAGCAAAGACAAACAGAGTGAGCATGGTATAAATAGTGATGGGATGATGAGTAAATTACTAACAGGTGATCATGATCAGAACAGAACGACAAGGCAAAGGACTATGGGAAACGGAGTTCAAAACATGTAACAAAGAAACAGGAAGAGCGCCCTCAAGTGGCCAGTCCAGGGCACCACAACCAGACACTGTGACATGCACATTGTGTGCTTGTGGTCTTACCACAAATACCATGGTTATTGAAGTTACTATGCAAGAGTTTTTGTAAAATTTTTGTAAAACTCCTCACAACCGTTTTCATATTATGTGAAAACGCAGTTAGAGCTTTTTTCAGTTTCTCTTTAATTTTTGTAAGATAGCAAACTTTTGGAATTAATAAAGATAATACCTTCCATAAAATATGTAAATATTTTATACAAGGTCAGTTTTTAAACTAATATGGCAAAACATCTGTTTTTAATTTTAATTTTAAGCTTTTTAAACTGGAAATGTATACAAAAACAAGATTTCTTGCAATATAGATAGATATGTTTTGAAATGTATATATAATATACAAAAGTGAATATTATATCTAATAATAATGTAACATTTTTGGTAAAGGTTTTTAATAGATTAGTATTTTTACAGTATTATATTTTACTGTATTATATTATTATTAAATATCTGACACCTATTTAAAATATTTTGTATAAAATGTTCAGTTCGAGTTGTTTTTTCCTGTGTTTGCTTTCTCCCTGCCTGTCAATTTCATTATTTGTTACTTTGGTTTCAGATTTTATGAGTCATTCTATTCAGCAGTGTCCTAATTAGTTCCCTTTGTTTGTTCCAGTAAGTCCTTGTACTTAATTTGACTTTGTTCCGGTATCTTCAATGCATGGGTGTGCTTCTTTGTTTGCTAGTGTATGGATTTACTTATGGATTTATTAAAGACTGTTTGAACCGTCATCTTCCTCGTTGTGCATGTGGTATACAAGCAGGTAGTGACAACTACAACAAAAAATTTGAATAATATAATTTTTTTGGTGAAAGTTTTTAATATATGTATTTTTAGTATATATAATCTTGTCTTAAATACCCACATATTTAAGGCAAGAAACAGTTAGGCTACCTTTCCCCCTTTTTTAAATGTTGTTTTTAAACTGAATAAATTAATATGAAATTGCAATATGACAAAATAACTACAAATGAAAGAATCAAAGGCACATAAAAAAAAAAGAAAAAATACAGGAGGCAGTAATTTTATGTAGTATAATATAATAGTTGTTTTACCATTACCTTCAATCACCAAGTATGGGAAAAGACATCAAAACATATTAAGAGTGATGACAGTTTAACCAACGCTATCGTTCAAGATGTTTAACAATGGTCCCTTTTCAGCTCTTCTGAAGCCGTATGTTAAGTTTTGTGTGAGGAACAGACAGAAATTTATGTCAGCATCAAGTGGAACATCCACCATGTGCAGAACTGCAGAAACGTGCCTCCAGAAGTTACTTGAAACAGTTTTATGATTCAATTTTTAAAGCTTGAAAGTCTCAGTTATTAGTTTATCCATTATAAATCATTACTCATTCAATAAAGAGTGACAACAGCAGGCATTACCTGCAGATCGTACATAACGCCCTATAAGCTCACCTCATGCTCTTTGCACAAACATGCACAGCTTTGTTCCCTAAATTGGGGCTTTCCCTTAGATTTATTTTGTTCTGAAACGAAGCAAATAGCAATTAGTATAACCAAACTCTAATCCTAACCCTAAACAAATGCAAGATTTACCATTTTAGAAGTGGATAAAGATAAAAAAAAAAAAATCTATTTCAGCATATGAGAGAAGGTCTTTTAAGTGTTGCTTTTTTAAGTTTAAATTTAATTTAATTTTAACTAGAAGATAAAAGCATGAATTAACTAGCTTATATATGCTGCAACTGTGTATTATTTTAACAAGGCAATATGTTTACATTTAAGGTAAAACATTGTTAAAACAATGCTTTTATAAGTAAAAGTATACATAAATAAATTACGTAAGTAGAATTGTGACAGAATTAAAACACAATACCGGCTTGTTGAAAAAGCCAGATTTTGTATTGTCTATTCAGCGCCCCTGTCTGTAACAATAATTAAGCTTTTAATTGTTTTTGGGGCATTTAGTGATTTTTTTCTCAGCATATTTTGTTATGTAATTATTTATTATTAATTATATTAATTAATGAGCAAAACATGTAATATCAATATATCATTATAAAAATCAACTTTTCTGTCTCGGTATTCCTCCTCAGATTTGATGGCTACATTTGAAGCCAGAAATGTCCCTGATGAAAGTTGACTAAGTATAACTGAAGCTGAAATACATGTGCAGAAAAATATAAAATGCAAAAATGTAATAAGTACTTTACAAGTTGACATAAACCTGTAAGGAGTAAAAAGTACTGTTTTTTTCATCAGAAAAAATCAAGTAAAAGTGCAAGAAGTCAATATAAATGGTACTTAAGTACAAATCCCCCCAAATAATACTTAAGTACAGTAATCAAGTACAATTTCTTAAGTATTTTATACACCCCTGCAGTGCTTGTAATGTTATCACTGTTGTTTTTATCATAACATTTAAAAGCATAAACAAAAATTTGCTCTTGTTTGTGTTTATAAAACATAGAAGCGCTTAAAAATGTTGCCGTTAAATAAAGGTATGAGGAAAGAGAAATAATACAAGTATCTGGGCGAGGAGGAAGAGGCTGTGGCAAGAAAGCTAAAAATCCTTTAATTATTATCTTGTCTGTCAGTTTGACGGTTTAATTTCACCTGTTGCTCAACACCTCACAGTTTTAAGAGTATATAAGTAAAGTCGTGATCAGACACTAATCAAATAGAAGCGAAGCACACAAGCAGAAGAAGCAGCTCACAACATGGGGATTCACCGTCAGTTGTGTTTTCTTGCAAGCCTACTGCTTGTTATTCACGCTGGACCGATTTCACAGCCATCTGACAAAGATATAGACATTGCAGAGGTATGTTGTTTTTCATGTAATACTTGTATTTGCATGTTTTGCAATTGCCCATAGTTTGTCCAATAATTCCTTGTTTATTTGCATTTTAGGATTACCTGAGAAACTTCTACAATCTGGAAGACTCAACATACGCTGCCGTTTTTCGCCCAGAAGCAAACAATGATCAACTGCCCGAGAAGCTGAAAGAGATGCAGAAGTTTTTCGGGCTTAGGGTGACTGGAAAGCTGAACAAAGAAACAGTGGCGGTGATGAAGAAGCCCCGCTGTGGAGTTCCAGATGTTGCTGCGTACTCCACATTTGGAGACGAACCCAAATGGCAGACCAACGAGCTCACCTACAGGTGTGTAATAACAGCTCTCTTTGCATCACTGGAAAAAGGCAAAGTGAAAGAAGCAGATACAGAGAATGATCCTTTTCCACAGAATCGTGAACTACACCCCTGACCTGTCAAAAGCTGAAGTGGATGAATCCATGGAGAAAGCCCTGCAGGTCTGGGCCAAAGTCACTCCTCTGAAATTCACCCGTATCAACAGGGGCACAGCTGACATCATGATCTCCTTTGGTACAAGAGGTAAGTTTCATCTATCAGTTTATCTATATTCATATTTTGTTTAACAACCATGTGTTTTTTTATTTTGATGAATTCTTTTGAACTAAATTTAAACTTGGTGTTTTGGTGATATACATGTTAAAAGCAAGTTCCGATTAAAATCAAATAATCAGTTTAAATCAGTTTACATTTTTTTGTCAAATTCAAAGCATTTTTTCAAATATTTCAAATTCAGAGTAGTTCAATTCAATTCGATGCACAACAATTCAGAATTTTTAAAATACAGATTCTCTATGTTTCATTCATTCATATGTATATGTATACACACACACACACACACACACACACACACACACGTGTCACACATGTGTGTATGTATGTATGTAATTTAGGAGAGAAGACAAATAAACTCTTTCTTACAGATCATGGTGATGGCCTGTTGTTTGATGGACCACAAGGCACTTTGGCTCATGCTTTTGCTCCTGGTTCTGGAATCGGTGGAGATGCACACTTCGATGATGATGAGTCTTTCACATTCCGCTCATCAAGAGGTGAGTTTTTTCTTTTGTTTTCTTTCCTTTTTTTTTTTTTGCTAAAATATTTTTCAAAGCCTCAGCTTTGACACCACTTCGATTTCAAGTAAAAATGTAACCTTTTGGCAATTAACCTTTTTACTTTGTACCCAAACTATTCTGCTTAATTTCTCCACAGGTCATGTCCTGTTCTTGGTCGCCGCCCATGAGTTTGGTCACTCTTTGGGTCTTTCTCATTCTAACGTTCCTGGCGCTCTGATGTTTCCTACATACACCTTCACTGATCCGGATCGTTCTCCTCTGTCCTCTGATGACATTGAAGGGATTCAGTCACTCTATGGTAATATGATCACCAAGAGAATATCTATAATTTCTGAGTCAAAAATATTAAGTTGTTTGTTTACTATGTGGTAATCCCTTCAGGTCCACTAAGACCAAAACCAGTAACAAAACCACAACCAGATTGTCAAAACCTGGTCTGGGATGCAGTGACGACATTTAAGGGAGAAACAGTGTTCTTCAAGGACAGGTAGAACATAGAAACAGATACCAATCTTGTGTGTTATTTTTTATACAGTATAAACATAAAATATTTAAAGGTGCACTATGACAGCTAGCGGTTGAAATGGGCACTGCAGTCCAAATTCAAAATATTGGAGAGAGCCGTTTCTCCCGCTTCCTCTTACTCAGACTCGACGCTCACATTACACGGGTTTGCCAGATTGAGGACACCCGACGAGCCTTGCACTGTAATTTGATGAGTTGATTTACTGTGTTTTAATGTTCCTCTGCTCATAGAGCATTGTGCAGTCTGTAATATTGCCAGCTAGCGGTTGAAATAAGGGTAAAACTGCAGCCTGGAGATCTCCAAATGGGGGCGGGAACTCCAAACCAGGGTGGGAGCTCCATAATAGGGCGTGGCTTCCTCCCATTGACAGACAGGCACATGACACTCATGTGCAATTTCGCCCCCCAATCCACTTCAGTGCAAACTCCGCCCCACAGCTGATTCTAACGTTTTTATTGGTTGTGTCAATTAAAGTGTTGATTTCCTACACTATGCTACAAAAAATGCTAACCCCTAAACCTACCCCACACCTGACCCTAACCTTAACCAGTGAAATTTACTGCACGGCGGGAATGGCACTAAATAGCGTGGTAAAGAAAGTTGCAGTTCAGGAGATATACAGTTAATAAGATTATGCGATATGAGATTGTTCCGTAACTCCCCAACCGGACCTCACCGGACAATGGCACCTTTTTAGTTACACCCAGCATCACTACCCCCTCCTACCCTGCGAATTTCGTGCTTGGAACAAAGCGATAGAGTAAAATCTTTCCCCTGTGCTGGGACGGCTTGTGGGTGATTCCCGTTTATATCATTAAGCAGAGGTTCAAACTCCAGTCCGAACACCACTGGCCATGAGCTTTGGGCTCTGCTCTCACGAAGAATATTTATTTATATAGCATCTTTTATTTTAGATGAACTAGAAACAATGTTTAATTTATAAAGTTTTATTTTAAAATGTAAGTCAATAACAATTGGCTGAAGCCACAGCCAATGGTGAAAGTCTTTGCGCGAGGAGATCCCGCCCCATTTTGGAGGTTCTGCCCACTTTTGGAGTTCACGCCCCATTTTTGAGATCTCCGGTCTGCAGTTATACCTACTTGGAATCTGCCCGAAACGCACATTTCAGAGTAGAATTACTGGCTGTGGCTATAGCATTATTTTTCAGAGAAACAGCTATGTAAACATAACATGTTTCCTAAATATCTACAAACTTATTATGTTATTTTTTGGCTTAAGAAGAGTCAAAAACTTACATACAGCACCTTTAAATCGAATGTCTCTCTCTGCAGCTCTTTCTGGCGTAGCTCTTCAGGCAGAAGTGCAGCGCAACGCCCGATCAAGAGTTTCTGGCCCAACGCTCCTGATAATATAGATGCCGCTTATGAGGATCTAGTGGAAGATAAAGTTTTTTTTTTCAAAGGTATCTTCTCAAACAATCTGGGCATGCTGAAACCACAATCACACTTACAATCTGTATCTCCGTGCTCAGAAAAACTCTTATCATGGCCAGTATTTATTTATAGGTAAACAAGTCTGGGCTTTCAATGGCCAAAATCTTGAGCCTGGCTATCCTAAGCCTCTCAGCAGCTTTGGTCTGCCAGAATCTGTGACAAAAGTTGATGCTGCTGTCCACAACAAGAACACAGGGAAAACACTGCTCTTCTTTGACAAATATTACTATCGGTGGGTCAAGTGCTGCATCATAAACAAAAGCCCTTAAAATTTACTCTGAAAAGACATTTGAATTTAACATTTCATCAAGAGTTTCTGGCCCAACGCTCCTGATAATATAGATGCCGCTTATGAGGATCTAGTGGAAGATAAAGTTTTTTTTTTCAAAGGTATCTTCTCAAACAATCTGGGCATGCTGAAACCACAATCACACTTACAATCTGTATCTCCGTGCTCAGAAAAACTCTTATCATGGCCAGTATTTATTTATAGGTAAACAAGTCTGGGCTTTCAATGGCCAAAATCTTGAGCCTGGCTATCCTAAGCCTCTCAGCAGCTTTGGTCTGCCAGAATCTGTGACAAAAGTTGATGCTGCTGTCCACAACAAGAACACAGGGAAAACACTGCTCTTCTTTGACAAATATTACTATCGGTGGGTCAAGTGCTGCATCATAAACAAAAGCCCTTAAAATTTACTCTGAAAAGACATTCGAATTTAACATTTCCTTTTTTTTTTTTTTTTTTGGTATAGCTATGATGAGAGGGAGAATCGGATGGATGAAGGGTATCCCAAACGAGTGGAAAATGTATTTCTAGGGTTGACTGGACAGGTTACAGCAGCCCACATGTCCAACAGTAGGTGTTTCTAACTTCCTTTTGTACAGATCTGCAACAATACAAAGAAATTATTCTAGCATTAATGTACAAATGGACTTCTTTTCTTCCAGATAACATTTATCTCTTCAGTGGGAGAAATTTGTTTGAGTTCAGCTCCAGCGACAGAAAGCTCCTTCGTTTGCTGAAGAGCAATTACTTCCAGCCCTGTTAGTCAGCTTCCCTGAAACCTGGATGGAGATGCAGCTTAATGGGATGTTTCAAAACTACAGCGCTTACTTTAATACATGTGCCTATAAACATTTAAAACTAATTCAATCAATTATACATTAATTGTTCAAATTGTCACTGGACTTCTAATTTATTGCTGTTATGATTTTAAAAGAATGCATATTTACAGAATCATTTAATGTATTGATTGTTTCCAAAATCATTAAAGAGCTTAATTCAATTCAAAAGCAATCATGTTCATTTTTAAAGCAAGAATAGTGCTTGGTTGGGAAATACTCAAGACTCAGAGCCTTTCAGACTCAAGACTCGGAAAGATCAAATAATCTAAACACGCAACAATAAATAAGCCTTTTATAAAATGTCAGATCAGCAAAATGACAGCACATGTTGCCGTTGATATAATATGAAGTGTTTCTGCATATGACCTTTTGAAGGAATGGATGAGTGTGTCTTGTTACCACAATATGTTTGTAAAATACAAACAAGAATATTATTTCTGTCACATATGGGCCCGCTCAGATATATGGACAAAATTCCTATGAAAATAATAATGGACAATTGAAAACTGAAGAAGAAAACAAAATCCTACACTACATAAACTGTACATGCAGAGCCTCATTTCATAAACTAGGGATTTCCCTTTGGCGTATTTTGAAATTGAACACATTTTTTTTAACAAAACTCTAACCTTAAAAATACAACTTTTGCCATTTTATAAGAGAATGCATACACCACTTTCCTCTTGAGGATATAAGAGGAAGTGTTTAAGGTTTGTTTGGATGTGTATCAGCATTTTTTAATCCCCATAAGCTCCTACTGTACCTGCACACACACACATGAACACAGTGGACGCCCCGGCTTTGTTGGGTGACTGACGCCATGCCAATGAATCACAACCAGAGATGCCGACGAATCAGGAACTTCCTCTGAGACCATGTCTGACATGTCCATGTATGTCTATTGATTTATTGCTGTTCTCATTGCAAAAACGTTTATATATATATATATATATATATATATATACATTTAAATACGTTTTTGTGATGTAAATGTATGAATGACCATTCCCAAAATCCCTGCATGAACTATCACAATTATTTAAATTTCATTGAATAGTTATTTTATATGACAAATTTAGGTAAAAACACACAGCCACCAAAATAATATCACAAAATGCTTGTAATAATCATCACTGTATTAGGAAAGTTCGGAAAACCACAGCTGACACTTTTTTTTTGCCCTTTGTGGTGTGTATAAATATACATATTGAGAAATATTGCTGTTAAATAAAAGTGCGTGGAACAGAAATCACAGAAATATCTTGGCAAGAAGGAAAAGGTTCGTGTTAAAGGAAGCTGGTAATCCTGTAATTACCGTCTTGTCTGTCAGTTTAATGGTTTACTCACAGAAACTTGCGACTGATGACTTCATCTTGTTGCTCAAACCCTCACAGTTCTAAGAATATATAAGCCCCAATCAAACCTTTGCCAGTCAGAAGCGCAAGAGCGTAAGAAGCAGCTCACAACATGAGGATTCACAGTCAGTCGTGTTTTCTTGCAAGCCTGGTGCTTGTTATTCACGCTGGACCGATTTCACAGCCATCTGACAAAGATGAAGCCACTGCAGAGGTATGTTTTTTTGTTTTAATATAATACTTGTTTGTGTGTTTTGTTTGTCTTTGCTCATAATTTCTCTAATAATTCCATGGGGTTTTTTATCCTATAGCATTACCTGAAGAGCTTTTACAATCTAACAGATGTAACAGATGAAACAACTGCTGTCCGAAGAGAGGCCAGTCAACTGACTGAGAAGATGAAAGAGATGCAGAAGTTTTTCGGTTTTAAGGTCACTGGAAAGCTGGACAAAGAAACAATGGAGATGATGAAGAAGCCCCGCTGTGGAGTTCCAGATGTTGCTGCGTACTCCACATTTGAAGGCAAACCCAAATGGCAGACCAACAAGCTCACCTACAGGTGTGTATAATAACAGTTCACTTGGTATGATATACAAAAGATTGAAAGAAGCAAATACAGACTATGGTGCTTTTACAGAATCGTGAACTACACCCCTGACATGTCAGTAGCTGAAGTGGATGAATCCATGGAGAAAGCCCTGCAGGTCTGGGCCAAAGTCACTCCTCTGAAATTCACCTGTATCAACAGGGGCACAGCTGACATCATGATCTCCTTTGGTACAAGGTGTAAGTTGTCTATCTATCTGGGTTTATATTTTGTTGAATTCTTTTCAGTTTAATTTAATGTGACTGATGATAAATGCAGACCAATTGGTCATGCACTGTCATTACAATACGATTGTTCAGTGGAATAATTATTATTTGGGTTAAATCCAAGTATCACAACACATAGTCCTAATCTATTATCTCAAGGCCACATTTATGATATTTATAAAATGGCACAGGTTTATCTTAGAGAAAATAATAGCGAAGTTTGAATTCAGTAAAAAGCATTTTTATTTTTCTGGAAAACGGAACAAAGAGCGTGCGGCGTTTGTGTGAGGGGACGCTTGCCTTGCACTTGTAAAATAATTTATTTGATATGTGATTCTAATATTGTACACTTATTTAAAGAATCAAAATTCTCTCGAATTTAGTGTTTCAAATGGCGTAAAATTCACAATTTAGCGGTCATATTCCAAGATCGATGCATCTAGAGTCAGATCAATCGTTACCAGCCTAATTACAAAATTTCTTTGAATGGCTTAACTAAAGCCAAGGCTAGGTTCTGTGATTTATAAATATAGTTTTATATAACTTTAATATTGTCTATTAAAATAGAAGACCTCGTTATGAATATATTAGGCTACTTATTTATTGAACACTAAATATAAAATTAAACTCTTCCTTACAGATCATGGTGATGCTTACCCGTTTGATGGACCACAAGGCACTTTGGCTCATGCTTTCGCTCCCTCTCCTGCAATCGGTGGAGATGCACATTTTGATGATGATGAGTTTTTCACTTTCCGTTCATCAAAAGGTGAGTTTTTCTAAATGTAGCCTAGTTTTCAGAAGTTCTTCATTTTAGTAGTGCAATAACCTCATCACCACAGATTGTAACTTAAGCACCACTCACGTTTGATTTTTATTTGTACCTAAACAGTGCTGCTTAATTTCTCCACAGGATTTGTCCTGTTCTTGGTGGCTGCCCATGAGTTTGGTCACTCTTTGGGCCTTTCTCATTCCAACGTTCGTGGGGCTCTGATGTTTCCCACATACAGCTTTACTGATCCGGATCGTTTCTCTCTACCCTCTGATGATATCAGAGGGATTCAGTCACTCTATGGTAAGCGTATGATCTTAAAGAGCACGTCTACAATCTTTAAGTCGAAAATATTCAGTAATTTGTTTAATGTGTTTCCTTCAGGTCCAAACAGAGACAGAACCCCCATCCACCCTGATCCAAAAGTGCCAACAACTCCTAATGCTTGTGACCCTAATCTGATCCTGGATGCAGTTACAACTCTAAGGGGTGAAACAATGTTCTTCAAGGACAGGTAATACAAATAAAAATCCAGTGTATTTATATATATATATATATATATATATATAGACCTAAAATATTTAAATTAAATCATGTCTTCATGTCTCTCTCTGCAGCTTTTTCTGGCGTAGATCTCCGAGCAGAAGTGTGGCGCAACTTCCGATCAAGAGTTTCTGGGCCAGCGCTCCTGATAATATAGATGCTGCTTATGAGGATCTAGTGCAAGATAAACTTTTCTTTTTCAAAGGTATCTTCTCAGACAATCCGGGAATGCTGAAACCACAGTCACACTTACAATCTCTATATCTGTGCTCAGAAAAACTCTTATTGTAGTCTGTCTTTGTTTACAGGTAAACAAGTCTGGGCTTTTAATGGCATCAGTCTTGTGCCCGGCTATCCTAAGACTCTCAGCAGCTTTGGTCTGCCATCATCGGTGAGAAAAGTTAGTGCTGCCGTCCATGTCAGATCCTCAGGAAAAACACTGCTCTTCATTGACAAAGTTTATTACAGGTGCGTCAAGTGCTGCATCATAAACAAAAGCCCTTAATATTAGCTCTGAAAAGCTGTTGGAATGTTAAATCTCCCCTTTTTTTGGTAGCTATGATGCGAGGGCAAAGAAGATGGACAGAGGGTATCCCCAACGAGTGGAAAGTGGATTTTCAGAGATGACTGGAGTGGTTACAGCAGCCCACATATCCAACGGTAGTGTTTCTAATCTCGTTTTCTACAAGCATTAATGTGCAATGATTATACTTCATAAAACTGAATGATTTTTTTTCTTCCAGGTTACATTTATCTCTACAGTGGGACAAATGTGTATGAGTTCGGATTATACAGTAAGAAGTACTTGCGTGAGCTGAAGAATAATTTTTTCTTGCCTTGTTAGTTGAGCTTCCCTGAAAGAAGAAGCGGATGTTATTTTACAACTACAGCATTTTTTAAATGCATGTACATATTTAAACAAATTAATTGTTCAATTAATTTCTTATTTCTGCTGTTTGTCACTGTACTTTTAATATAACTCAAAGAATGTATTTTTACACAATCAATTTAATGTTTTTTTTTTCTTCAAATAAACTAAAGTGCCTATTTTAACTTAACAGCATGTGAGTGTCTTAATTTTGAAAGGGAGATTGATTTTGGTGTGGATTTTAACATTTTAAAAGACCTGATTTACAGAGCAAATGTATATAACTATTATAAATCCAATATCAGCATTGTAAAAATATCAAGCCATCTAAATTCTCAATAATAAGTAAACCTCTAAAGTTTTATAAAAGGTCAGACTTTTTGTGAAAGCATGTTGACACTTGCAGTTGATACAGTATTATGAGCCTGTGAGGAATGGATGAGTATGTGCCTTGTCATCATGTGTTTGTACAATAAAAACAAAGCTAGTCCTTCTGTTACGTTTATGGGTCACACTGGGTCACATAATTCCTGTGGTCACATTTTAGGGCATGAATAAGGGTGTTCCGAAGTGCCTCTGTTAAACAGCCTCAGGAGTTGTGCTTTTGTGTTTTTATCTCAAGTATGCATCACTAGTATGTGCCCTGAAGGGAATTCCAGTGGTTATGCAAACCTAAACCTAAAATAAGAAAAGAAAAGAACAAAGCACCATCAATTCACCAGTGGTTTCAAGAGATTTACAGTGTACTCCCATTTGAAAGAATTAGTGCATCACTTAAGGGGAGTGTGGATACTTTCAGATGTATCTGGTCTCCTTTTTTTTTGCCATCTTACCAGGCTCAACTAAAGAAACTTTAGAGCTCGGCCAGGTAGACATACCATGGAGAATGCTGTAATTTCTTTTCATATTTAATGCTGTTGTTATGCATGCACACTCTCCTTGGGGTGGGTGGGTATGTTTGTAAATTTGTATTTTATTATTATTATTATTATTTTTATGTAATTTTGACATTTGTAATTATGTATGTTATTTTTGTTAAAAACCAATAAACATTCAGTCAAGAAAAGAAAAGAAAAGAAAAGAAAAGAAAAGAAAAGAAAAGAAAAGAAACAGCCTTGCTTCTGGCCAGTCACGGGCTAGACTATAAACATTTAATGCTTATTTAATTTTATTTCAGTCTATTTGTGTCAGTTTGACTTCCGAGAACCCATTCAAGTCATTTTTTAATTTTCAGAAAGCCTACTTTAGAAACTATTTAGAGTTGATCTTGGTCACTTTAGCACTATTTTCTCAAGTGTACATTGTCAAATTCTTAGAAAACAAAACTATAAAGCTTATCATGTTCACAAATGTTTTTAAATAATTTTAATTCTTACCAAATGTAAAATGCAGAAAATATTGGTTTAAATTGAATTAAGTTAGATTTCTCTCTCTCTATAAATGTACCAATTAGCCTAACTAATTAACTTAATGACGATGTATGTATTTAAAACAGGCCCAATGAGGCACTAAGCTGTCAAACATTTTAAATATATTTCAGCAATCCAATTTGTAGTAGTAGCCTATCGTCATTACATCTTAGTCCAGTTGAAGTCGTAGTGGTGCGCATGTTTTATAGCTGCTTGCAACGTTGAAAATATTTATGACAAATTTATGACACGAGATAAAATAAAAATGGGAGACCTAAACTTAAAATTAATATCAATTATTCCTTACCGCTCCATTCAGAAGCTTTCTTTTTTTTTGTTGAGAAAACGTTTATGAATTTCTACTTTAGGAAATGGGAAATGCATGCATTCCATATGACCAGACACTCAGCAGAAAAATCAGCAGAAAGGGGATAAATCAAAAGCAGAGGTAGGGATACAAAACCTAAAATCCTTTTGAAGACAACTGGACAATTCAGCTGCTTCAGAGGTGAAGTCATCCACAACACAAACTTCTGTCTTGACATGTTCAGGCAGCAGCCAACAAAACCCCCCAAAACCCACAGTTTCCCACTTCCACCCCCGCTAACACAGCTGCTGACTGGAAATGATAAAACACTGGACAAGCCCCTTTTAGACCATATAAAAGTCACAAACAGAGACTGTGGAGATCAATTAAACTTCCCTGCAGAGGAACAAGACTGAAGTATGGAGCACTTCACAGCCCTCAGCCTGACACTTGCGGTGTTTTTGGCTCTTTGCGACGGCGCTCCCACGACAGCATCACCAGAAGACCATCAAATAGCAGAGGTAAGTACCCATAAGTAAATAAATAATTATTTATTTATTGACTTTTAAATATTTATTTATGTACTAACTTATGCACTTTATGCAGTTTTTTTTATATTTACTTTTTAAAAAATCTCCAAATCTAACTTTGTGACTATGATAAACTTTTGATAACTATGATCTTTATCAGTGCTATTTTTAATAAGTGTAAAAATGTTCCTTCCTCTGTCTTCCCAGGCATAACTGTCAAAATTCTACAGGGACCTTAACGCAACTAAATTCCGCAGCAGAATGATGCCAGATCTAGAAGATGAACTGAAGGCCATGCAGAAGTTTTTTGGTCTGGAGGTCACAGGTAAGCTGGACTCGAACACACTTGAGACGATGAAGCAGCCACGCTGTGGAGTCACTGATGTGGCCAGATATGAACACTTCCAGGGGAGGCCCAGGTGGGTTCAGACTGAGAAAATGTGTTTCTTCTGTGCAAAATGCTACTTGGATTTTGGGTGCTGAATAGATAGACAGATAGATAGATAGATAGATAGATAGATAGATAGGATACTAAACATGAATTGTTTTTTTTTCTCTTAGAATAACTGAATATACATCACAGCTGAGCAAGAGAGAGGTGGACGCCACCATCACTAATGCTTTCCAGCGCTACAGTGATGTTATTCCACTTGACTTCAAACAGATCTACAGCGGCACAGCTGATATCATGATTCTCTTCAAAGCAGGATGTGGGTATAAATACAGTACCCTCAAAAGTTTGGAATAATTCAAATTTTCTACATTGTTTTTGAAAGACGTCACTTATGCTGCATTTATTTCATCAAAAATGCAGTAAACAGGACTATTGTGAAATATTATTACAATTTAAAATACCTGTTTTCTATTTGAATTATTATATTTTAAATGTAACTTATACCGTTGACGGTAAACCTGAGTTTTCAGCATCATTACTCCAGTCTTCAGTGTCACATGATCCCTCAGAAATCATTCTAACATGCTCATTTGGTGCTCAAGAAACATTTCTTATTATCAATGCTGAAAACAGTTGTGCTGCTTAATTTATATTTTTGCGGTGATACAATGCCATTTCAAAGTTTGGGGTAAATAGGATTTAAAAAAATAAAAAATAATTATATAATTTTAATATAAAATTAAAATTATATATATATAAACACTTTTATTCAGCAAGCAGACACTAAAATGCATCAAAAGTGAAAGTAAAAATATTTATAATGTTATACAAGATTTCTATTTTAAATAAATGCTGTTAATTTCTCTTCATCAAAGAAACCTGAAAAAAAAATCATGATTTACACAAAAAATATGAATAATTCAGTATTGATAATAATGGAAATAAATTTAAATAGTAATATGTCACAATATTTTTTATTTCAAAAAATGCATCCTTGGTGAGCATAAAATGCTTCTTTCAAAAACATAAACAAATTTAATTATTCCATATTTGTTTCCTTTTAGATCATGGAGATTTTTACCCATTTGATGGGCCTAATGGGGTTCTGGCCCATGCCAACGCACCCGGTCCAGAGCAGAGAGGAGACACACACTTTGATGAGGATGAGAGGTGGACCTTAAGTTCACGAGGTGAATGCACAAATCACACAGAATCACATGCTTATGTGTGTTAACTTTTTAATATTTATTATTAAAAAAAACATAAATCTACTTCAGATATAAACCTGCTTTTGGTGGCTGCTCATGAATTCGGACATGCACTGGGACTAGAGCACTCCAATGACCCTTTGGCTCTCATGTATCCAACTTACCAATACATCAACACGAATGGCTATACACTTCCCCGTGATGACCGACTTGGGGTTCAGGCCCTGTATGGTAAGTGTTTTTTTGTGACAGAAAACACATACATTAAATACAATAGATCATATTGTAGGGCAACTGGAGAGCATTATCAACTATAAAACTCTCAATAAAGATATATTTCCCCCCCATTTTGTATCATGTTTTAGGAGTTAGAACATCAACAAATAAACCTGAACCAAAACCAAATCCTGGACCGAGCCCACCAGAACCATGTAAACCTGACTTGGTGTTTGATGCAGTGACCAGCATCCGTGGAGAACTGTACTTCTTTAAAAATGGGTAAGAATTTATTTATTTTATTTTTTTATGTTTAATATATTTGATTACATGCACACACACTGTGTGTGTGTGTGTGTGTGTGTGTGTGTGTGTGGATGCGAGTAAAAATATATGATTAAAAAAATTAATATTTAATTCTTCATTTCCATCAGATATTACTGGAAGAAGGGCTACTATAGTGGACTTTCAATGCATGAAATAAAATCTACCTGCCCATCCATTGACTCTGTTGATGCTGGTTATGAGTTCAGTGGCAGAGACATTAGTTTCCTCTTCAAAGGTCATGTTTCCTAAAGTGTCTTTGGTGGTGTATAACAAGGCTTCAGTAAATGCAGTTGTGTGGTCTTCCACATTCAGGTCAGCAGTACTGGGCAGTAAAAGGCAGAACTACTTTACCTGGATATCCCAAACCCATAACCAAATTCGGGTTTCCCACATACGTGAGAAAGATTGATGCAGCTGTATATGTAAAATCAACTGGGCACACTTTGTTTTTTGTTGGAACCAAATACTGGAGGTAAGAAAAAATGAATGATTAGCTCAAATGAACCATTGTCTCCACTTAATATTGTGTTGATTTTTCAAAATAACATCAAAACTAATATAATTTTAACAATGGTGTAGCTTCAATGAAAGAACAGCTCAAATGGACAGAGGCTTTCCTAAAACTATTCGACATCATTTCCCTGGCATTGGGTCACGGGTGGACGCTGCTTTTGAAAATGATGGTGAGTTTAAACACTATAAAACAAAAACACTGACTATTCAACCATTCATTATTTAATGATGTTCCCTGTAATCATTTTTTTCTTTTTTTTTAGGTTATCTGTATTTCTCAGAAGGTTCAAGGCAAATGGAGTATAATTTCATCTTAAGACGAGTGAATCGTGTTCTGTTGAACTATGGATGGCTGGACTGCTACTAAACATTTAAATGAAAATCAAAAGAAATGAAATGAATGTTTCAGTATTAATAATGTACCTATATTTTTCTGTTTTTTTATTATTTTATTATAGACAATGCCACATTGTAATATTGTATGATATATATATATATATATATTTAAATATTAGTGCTGTCAAATGATTAATCGCAAAATAAAAGTTTTTGTTTACATAATATATGTGTGTGTACTTTGTTTATTTATTATGTATATTTAAATATACACACATACAGTATATATTTATATTCATATAATTTATATTATATATAAAAAATATTTAATATATAATACATATACATAATAAATATACACAGTACACACATATATTATGTACACAAAAACTTTTATTTTGGATGTGATTAATCGTTTGACAGCACTAAAAAAAAATAATAATAAATATATATATATATATATATATATATATTGCAATTCAGTTGTAACTCATCTTCTAATATAATAAATAAAAATAAATAGGAAAATGTGGATGCATTTTATTGTAAGCTGAACAAGACCTTTTCTATATAAAAACTAGTGGTGTTGCTATTAATATAATGTATTAACTTGTTCGAAAATACTTTAAAAATACTCTTTTAAAGTGAGTATAAAAGAATAAAGTCAAAAATGTCGGTAGGCATAGGCCCAATCTTTCATTATTTTGTCTTAACAAAAAAATAAGCAGTGAAGCAATGTTGTTTTATGTTATTAATATCTGAATTTTATCTGACAAATAAAAATTAGAGAGGACTGTGTGTCACTACCACTACATTTTAAAAAAAGATAAACATTTAAACCATTTTATAAAAAAGTCACATTTAGTTCAGGTTAAATTGAATAAATGAAAGAAAACTTTCTCTACCAAAAATATAATAGGCTAGCGAAATATAAGTAAAAGAAAGAAAGGTACAAGCAAAAGGTTTATGAAACCAACACTGAGACAAATATTGCATTTTTAAGAAGGTTTTACAAGCCAAAACTAGCTAAAAAACAACAAACAAAAAAAACAACGTAAGGTGTATTGTGACATAAACAACATTACCCACAATGCTCTGGGCGACGCCATGTGACGCAGACACACCTCTTACTGTGATTGGCTGCTCACTGTAAGCGTTCACTACACTCTCATTCGGAGCTTTGAAGGTGAAATTTGCTTTTTTGTGTATGCAGTTTTCCATCGCGATTATGACTTCCTGTGCTCTTTACAGTACACGCACACACCTGTGCAGACATCTGGTGAGTTTAAACTAAATCGATATCGATAGCCGATATTGACTATGCCACGAGACTTGCGCAGCAAGCAGCAGTTTGAATGCAGGCCTGTTTCATTATTTACCTTTTAAACAGTGCACCTCACTTGTTAAAAAGTAGATGTTCAAAATGTAAGGCGTTCATATAAATTCTACAGACAATTTATTATGCCAGCAAAATAGTTTTTGAATCTGCCTTTGCAGGCACATAAATATCTGAGCAGGACCTACAGCACACGACCGTCTCTAAATGTGAGTAAAATATTATGCGATTTGATCAGTTTATGGAGCCAGAGCGGTTTCTGTCAGGTGAGTATTTCTTCCTCTTTAATCTCTGGACAGGAAGTCGTCATCGTCAGTGCAGTCAGGACTCCTGTGGGGTCTTTCAGAGGAAGCCTTTCCACAGTCCCTGCCACTAAACTGGGTTCCATTGCTATTAAAGGAGCCGTTGAGAAAGCAGGTAAAATTCTGATGGTCTTAGGAGGAATTATTATTTGATCATTTATTATATTTAATTATGTAGTTTAACAATATAACAGTTTATTAAAAATTCAAATATTTTTTTTAATTGTATTTTATGTTTATAATGTTATGATTGTTATAATATCATTCATATTTTTAAATGTACGCCATCATTCAAAAGTTTGGGGTCAGTATAATTCATTTTTGATAGAAAATAATACTTTTATTTAGCAATAATGCATTAAATTGAGCCAAAGTGACAGTAAAACATTTATAATGTTACAAAAAAAATTATATTTCATATAAAAGCTGTTCTTTGGAACCTCTATTTATCAAAGAATCCTTAAAAATGTCTAATTTTCCACAAAAGTATTCAGAAGCACAATTGTTTTCAGAATTGATAATAATAAGAAATGTATCTTGAGCACCAAATCAGCATATTAGAATGATTTCTGAAGGATCATGTGCTTTGCCATCATAGGAATATATTATATTTAATAATATATTAAAAGAGAAAACAGTTATTTTAAATTGTAATAATATTTCACAATGTTACTGTTTTTAAAGTATTTTTGATCAAGTAAATGCGGCTTTAGTGAGCAGTAGATATTTTTCAGAAACCTTTAAAAAAAATCTTACCAACCCCAAAATATATAAAATAAATGGTATAAAATAATAATTTAAGCTATAATAAAACCTCATCAACAAATTTATTTTAATCAGAAAGGTGTGCTATTTGTTTCTACAACAAATGCAACATAGTTTGATATTTTGTATTCTAATGCAATGATATTCATATGCGTGTGTTATTATTTCTACATTTTTAAGACTTATTTGTATGATAAAATGTGTCATCTACAGGAATTCCGGTTGAGGAGGTGAAAGAAGTTTATATGGGCAATGTGTTGCAGGCAGGAGAAGGACAAGCACCAACCAGACAGGCTCTTCTGGGTGCAGGTGAGTTATGTATCACACACATAAACAAACAACAAAAAATGCACCTTTTATTTAGGAATTAACAATGCAACTTCTCAAAGAAAAGTGTGTGATGTTTGTGATCTTCCTCATGTAGGTCTCCCTCTCTCCACTCCGGCAACTACCATCAATAAAGTGTGTGCTTCTGGGATGAAGTCCATCATGATGGCCGCTCAGAGTCTCATGTGTGGGCATCAGGTATTGTGATAGACAGGAGATTCAGAAAGTGTTGTGTATGTGAAAGTGAGAGCATTTAGCGTCCTAATACAGCAGAGGTAGTAAATCTACATGATGTCTTCCAGGATGTGATGGTTGCTGGTGGAATGGAAAGCATGTCTCAGGTTCCCTATGTCATGGCCAGAGAAGTGCCCCCTTATGGTGGAGTGAAGATGGAGGATCTGATTGTTAAGGACGGGTTGACGGACGTCTACAACAAATTCCACATGGTACAGTTATTTTGAAGCAGTAAAACCGATTGCATTGTATTTGCATAATAGTGAAGCCTGAAAATAACTATTGAGTCAATATAGGAAGTGAGTGTGGAAACATTGGACAGCAAATGTACTGTACGTAAACACTGGAGAGGCCATGATTGTGTAAAACGCCTCCCCATTTTTAGGGCAACTGTGCTGAAAATACGGCCAAGAACAGCGGTATCTCCAGGGAGGAGCAGGACGCATTTGCCATTAACTCGTACAGCCGCAGCAAAGCAGCATGGGAGTCTGGCGTCCTGGCCAAGGAAGTGGTTCCTGTGAGCATCCCTCAGAAAGGTTGGTTTCACTGCTGTTGCTGTTAAGTTCCATATCATTCCCCAAGAATTCCCTTTTATGAGCTAAAATATTTTATTACACAATTGATACATAATTGCAATAAAATATGCTCTCTGACCGCATAGGAAAACCAGACATCGTTGTGAAGGAAGATGAAGAATATAGGAAGGTTGACTTCAGCAAAGTCCCCAAACTGAAGGCTGTGTTCCAGAAAGAGAACGGTACAAGATTATCATTAACCCTAGTGGGAAAAAGTTTTTAACATAGTGGACTTCAAATTTTAAAAGTACATAAAAAAAAACTAAAAGATAATTACAAATTTTTTAAACTTTGTAATCTCAAATGAATTTCTTTTTTACTATAAAATACATTTAAAAGCATTGTTTTAATAATTTTATTCACTTATTTTGATGTGTTGACTAACATTAAAGCAAATGTAGGGTACTTGATTATGATTTAACTGTAGTGTTATTCAATATTAGATTTAAAGTTATTCGATTGTAAATGTTTTTCATCACAGCTTCATCAGTACAAATGTATAGTTACAAATATATTTAGGCTATATTATGACATACAGGTTTCAGCAGAATATATTTTAGTTTACCATAATTGCTTGTTAGTACCTTCAACAGCACAGTTTAACCATATTTCAAAGACAATAGAAGTAATTATGAAATTGCATATAAAGATGTACTTAACTCCTACTTCAGTGTGGTTGGTTAAAGCACTGAGCTAATTGCATTTATTATAAACTTAAACTATAATACATTTTCATGTAATTGCAAAAAACATGCAATTAAGTGTCTGAAAACATTATATTTAGTATTATGAGTGAATTATAAAGTAATTCACTTAAGTGTATTATTTTGAAGTATATTATGCCGTTTTTAAAAGTATGCTATAAAGTACTTCTTTTCCATAAGTGAGGATATTGAAAAAGTGTTTTCAATTCTAAAGACAAGCGAAAGTTTTGTTTTTGCAGGCACAGTGACGGCAGCCAACGCTAGTACGCTGAACGATGGCGCGGCGGCTCTCGTGCTCATGACAGCAGATGCGGCAAAGAGGCTCAACATCACACCGCTTGCAAAGATCGTTGGTGAGGCAATTCACTCCTCTTAAATTAAATTCATTTTTATAGTGTGTGTTGTTCATTTGAACAGATACTGCGGTGGTTGACAGTTTACGTAGCAATGTTTTATTTTTTTTAATCCCCAGATTTATTTTGCTCATGTTTCGTTAAGTTGTGTTTATTACAGTTTAAATAAAGTATCAAAAGCATGTAATCATATGGTTTTATTGAACAAATCTGTTGAAATATATAATGTATTATAAACAATAATAACGCATTATAACAAATGCCTGCAGAGGGCGCCAACGGCCCGACGATTGTTTTTACACATTACGGCACGATCTAATCCTTGTTTAATATTGAGCAAACCTAATTTAATTAAATTGTCGACTTAATCTTTAATATTTGGCCATTTCTTTATGTCAGAAAAGCTACAGCCACTGTAATTTCTTGAATATCTGGACATCAAAATGTGTAAACTCAGAGTGAGGGTTTAAACTTTTATTTTGAAATCGCGATGAACAGTTGGCATATTGAGAAAGATATTGATATATTCTCCTGTGTTTAAAGTATAAAATATTTACTTTACAAATCTGATGAAATGGTGCATGTTACATTTCGAGATGAATGTAATAATTAACCCAAACTCACAACAATATGCAGAGATGGAGTTTGAGACGCTCCACACATGTAAATGTTAGCAGTTTGGGTGGAGTAGCATTTACTGTGAACTGAGCCGCTCTAACATGCATGTGCGTAACCTACATGCATGTAAATAATTAGCGCATATATTTATTTAATTGATTCATAGCGTTTGTAAATTCACAATAGCATTATGGTTTATTATGATTTTTAAATGGGTTGAATATATTATGCAGCCTTGGAAAACGGTCTAATAATGTGTTTTATGGATTCTCGTCCGTGGAATGCGCCACGTCCGGTATTTTGCAGATTACACGACACAGGCAAAATGCAATTAATGTGTTTTAAAATCGCCTATTCGAATTTAATCAAGGAATCGTTTATTTATAGCATTTCTAAATGGTTACAACACTTTTTTTTTTTAAATAAAAGTCTTGTTATTGGTAAAACTACACTATTTTGACTGAAAAGTTGTGTTACTGTCATGCTACTGAAAAATATAGTTGACTTGGTAGCTTTGCTACTTATAGCTAGCTGCTGAGATGTAGTTAGCTACTCATTCATGGCCTGTTTTGTCAGAGAACTATGCTTGCTAGCTTCACATCTAGATCACCATTTTATCCTAATTCACAGCTTTTGCTGATGCTGCTGTGGCCCCCATCGATTTCCCTATCGCTCCAGCCTTCGCCGTCCCCAAGGTTAGCTGATGTTTATGTGTTTATTGCTAAGCTAAAGTGTTTTTGAAGTCCTTCAGTGTAATAACATCTGTTTCGCACAGGTCCTAAAGGCAGCCGGTGTTAAGAAAGAAGACATTGCCATGTGGGAGATCAATGAGGCCTTCAGTGTCGTGGTGCTGGCCAACATCAAGATGTTAGACATTGACCCCAACAAAGTCAATATCAACGGAGGAGCAGTTTCCCTCGGACACCCAATTGGGTAAATATATGCAACATGCTTCTCATGCATCACTGTTCACTATATTGACATACTGTAATTAGATTTGCGTAATAATTTATGTGCCGGTTTTGCGGTTTCTAGAATGTCAGGGGCGAGAATCGTAGGACACATGGTGCACAATCTGAAATCGGGACAGTACGGACTGGCAGGAATCTGCAATGGAGGAGGCGGCGCCTCTTCTATTCTGATCCAGAAATATTAGGACTTGCACTTTAGTCCACAGAATGTCCTTGAGTCAGATATATCTTCATCATTAATGTGAGGTCAGTCCTGTTTTTCAATTAAAATAGGAAACAAAGTTGTCGGTGTTCATACAATACAAACTTCTCAAATTGTAGTATTTATTCTGTGCTCTCAATGCATATTTCGTTATGTGGTGTCATTCTCAAAATAATGTTTTAATAAAAGGGTTTAGAAAGTTAAAATCTGTATTTGCAATAAAATAGAATATTGATTGTTTTTGTTGATGTTGAATGTGATGATTATACTCAGAAATAATGCATTTCACCTGAATGAACACCAGGTGGCGTGTGTGCTTTGAGCTCTGTTTGCTGATTGGCTAATGGACACTTTTCACAGACTATAATGAAGCAATAATAATTTTTTTTTTTTTTTTAATGTACTTTTATAATATTTTATCCTGACATTAAATGACAAAAAAAAAAAAAGCTGCGAAGGGGTTTCTATGTTATATTTTATCCTGACATTAAATGAAAAAAAAAAAAAAAGCTGCGAAGGGGTTTCTATGTTGGTAAATTGATGGTAAATTTGACAACATTCATTCTTCTGACGTCCTTTATCAGGCTCTCTAAACACAATAGTAGTGCTTTTTTGTTTGTTGTTTTTAAGCAAATGGGAAAACAAAAGTTATATGTGCTTTGGTCTCCCATGCACTGCTAAGTTTACCTATGACAACTTTGGCTTCTTAGAACCTTGGAAATGTGAAAAGGGTCCATTGAGGCAGTTTTGACCAACCTTACCTGGTTGATGGTGACCTGAAACTAATTTATGCTACAAGATTTTGTAAATTGGAAAAAAAAAAAATAGTTTGAACTATAATATGTTTGAAATGTGAATTATGTTCCACAATGTTTTGAAACTTACCAAAAACCATCCAAATTATTATTAATAACAGAATCCACACATGATATAGCACTATTATCTTTACCACAGCATTGGTTAGCATCTTTAAAGCCAATTTTTAAATGACATTATGCTCGTAAGTGCAATGAGTCCTTGAGGATATTTTTTTCCTTTGGCCGAAGGTATGTTCATTTACTTGATTTGTTAATGTACCTGTGTTATTAGATGATTTGCTAAAGGTCTCTGTTAATTAGTAAGCACAATTAGATGCAAAATTAGAGTTGTTGGTGACATTAAAGAGATTCTCCACCCAAAAATTACATTTCTCATAAGTTATTCACCTTTATGTCATTCCAAACTTGAATGGCTTGAATGGCTAAGAACAATTTTAATTACTTATATATATTTATATAATATATATATATATATATATATAACACAAATGAGTTAACTATTTTTCTCAGTTGTAAGCAACATTTCAGCAAGAGAAAAGGAACGTTTTGTTCTTCCAGGGAAGTTGACAGAGACTCTTTTCCGAGTCTGTATAAATAATCCACCTGCAGCACCTTGACCAAAAAAAACCCCCTCAAGACTCCACCTCCAGACACCGCTCTTATCACGTCACATAACACCTTATGATGATTCTACTGAGTACTCGGAGACTGTTTATCAAGTTCTAATTTTAAGTTTCTTCCTTCTATTTGTCATTGAAATGTTATTGTGCTTCAATCAAAGAGACAGATGTGCGAGTCAAATATTAACAGGATGTTGTGAGAGCACTTGTAACGTCATGGATGTCAAAGTATCGGCTCATTGACTGAATAACAGCAGGGCCGAGACTGACCCCTGTGTGAGAGCTGAGTTTGGAAAACCACGCATTTTAATAGTGCAGATGATCTTTACAGATTGTTTTTAATGTGGCAGTTGTGTGAACAGTGCGTCGGGAAATTGAACAGGAAGTCTATTTAGCTACATCTTCTAACAGATTAAACCTTCATCATATAAAGCCTTGTAATGTTTTTATAGCTTTTAGCTGTTCAGGTGATTCTTGGTAATGTACGAAATGATTTAAATGATAACTTACAGTTGTCCTTGTTCATATATGTTTTCATATATGCCATTGAAACTTTAGCTAAAAAGAACAGCACTTTTCAGAGAGATACTCGCCTGCTCAGAGCCTGCATCAGTATACGCCTCAAACAGCACCTGTTAATACACACCACACGGTCACACCTGGACCCTACCTTGACGTTAATCCGGTTCACAAAGGTATTTAATGCTTCTTAAAGGAATAGTTCACCAAAAACGAATCATTTACTTACCCTCACGTTGTTCCAAACTTGTATGGATTTCATTCTTCTGTTGAACACAAAAGAGGATATTTTGAAGAATGTGCGTAGCCAAACATCATCTGGTACCCTTTAGTATTTTACTATGGATTACTATGGAAGCCAATGGGGACCAATGACTGTTTAATTACCCACATTCTTCAAAATATCTTCTTTTGTCTTCAACATACAAGTTTGGGTGAACTATTCCTTCTAACCTATTTTAGTCATTTTCATGTTCTAAATATTGGTTCTAATGAACTTTGATTCTTTGACAGCTTCCAGGAGAAAAAAAATGGCCATTTATCCTTGGCATAGTCGTCACCCTACTGGTCGTTGCTGGGGTCATAGCTGCGGTGCTTTGGTTTTATGGTAAGAAACTCACACACTGGATGTCCTACAGTTCATCTACACCAGATTTCTTGCTCTGATGTCCTTTGTCTACTCCAACAGGTGTGTTTGATTGTTTGCAAGGGCGTCGCTGTAAAACAGATAACGAATGTGTCCGCTTCTCGCAGTGGTGTGATGGCGTGCAGGACTGTCCATCGGGAGACGATGAAACTCAGCGCTGTAAGAATACCTTACACATATTGTCCAACATGTTGAATTGATCCCATTCAAAGATCTTTACTGTACTTTCTGTTGTTGTATTTGTAGTTCGTCTGTTTGGATCTAATTTCCAATTAATTTACAAGATTTCTGTTTCAAATGAATGCTGTTCTTTGAAACTCATCAAAGAATCCTGAAAAAAAATGTCAGTTGCCACAAAAAATATTAAGCAGCTCAACTGTTTTCATCATCAATAATAATAATACTAAGTGCTTTATGAGCACCAAATCAGCATATGTGACCCTGGAGTGGTCCAGGGTCACATATTAGAATGATTTCTGAAGGATCGTGTGAAAAATGATGCTGAGAATTTAGCTTTGACATCACAGGAATATTAGTACATTTACAGAATGTGTTTTTGTATGAGGTGATTTGTAATATGTGCTTTGTGTTTGTGTGTGGTTTATCCATTTATCCGGTTTATCCGGTTTATCCGGTTTATCTGGTTTATCTGGTTTAAAGATAAACTATCTGGTTTATCTGGTTTATCCGACCACATGCTGGTGAAGACAGATTCTCTCTGCTCTTCCAATCTGACAGGTTTTCGCAGTAAAACGTGCGCAACAGAGTTCTGTTAATACAGAATTTTCTAGTTCTTCATATCTAAAAGGTTTAGGTTTTACATTTTGGTTATTTTATTGCAGTTAACATTAATTAATTGGTTAGTAGTGTTCCCTATAATCAGCTTGTTTAAAAACTCTTCTTTTTATATTTCTCTTATGATAATTAATTTCATACTGTCCATCTAACAAAGTAGTGGCACTCAAATGTATAGGTAAGATAATAGTTGCAAGTTCTTTTTATTTTATTTTATTTTTATTTGTGTGTGTGTGTGTGTGTTTGTGAAATAAATATTTAGGTGTTACCCTTATTTTGTATGAACTAAAATGTTAAAAGTAGTTTATATAAAACTGAAATATAGTATAAACATTAGGCATAATAATAATAATACAGAGTAAGAAAAACTAAAACATAATATGAGATAAACTTGATAGAAAATGGAAATGCCTTGACTAAAACTTTAAATAAAATTAAATAGAGAAGTTTGCTAAAAAAAATATAAGTGAATAAAACAACATTAATATAACTAAATTAAAAGGAAAACTGAAAAATATAAAAATAAACACAAATTCATAATATTATTAAATACTATAAAAGTACTTAAATAATGCAATAACACTGATCCCAATGTACAAATCTGTTGTCATCTTTTACTCAATCTCATATGAGTGATGAGAGTTTTCATTTTTGGGGTGAACCAACCTTTTAAATATTTTAATTACTGTAAAATATTAATATCAAGTATAGCTTGTAGCTAGGAAAGCTACACTTTTCACATACGCTGATACTGATCTCTGAATCCTGTTGTAGATTGTGGACGGAACAGCGGGACCCGAATCGTGGGAGGAACCACGGTGACCTCTAAGGGGGTGTGGCCATGGCAGGTCAGCCTGCAAATTACCAGAAGGCATTTGTGTGGCGGGTCTGTCATTACACCTTACTGGATCGTCACAGCGGCTCACTGTGTGCATGAGGAAGTACTCTCGTTTAGTACAGTCTCGTTTGACAATTTATGATGAACTCTAATAAAAGGCAAACTGGTGTAGGAACTCAGATGCAAGGGATTGGACTGTGTATGCTGGATATCTGACTCGTACCGAGATGCTGTTGGCCACCGGCAATTCTGTAAGCCGAATTGTCATGCACAACTTTGACCCGAGAACCAGTGAGAATGACATTGCCCTGATGAAACTAAACGTCCACTCACAATTACATGTAAGAGTGAATTTTACAATTTTCCCCCAGCCAATAAGAAAATTTCACGATCATTTAATAATACTGACACGTTAAGTGAAAATAAATTAAAACAAAGTGTTTTTGTTTCACACATGATCTGTGCTGGCAAGCTGGAGGGCGGCGTGGACTCCTGTCAGGTCAGAAACACGCTCTGTATAAACACAGAAGCTGCTTGATCATTCAAAAGAGTAAATTAGAGTAGAGTAAATGTAATGTATGTGCCAAAGGCCAAATTAAATAAGTGCTCTTCCACACGGGGACAGTGGGGGTCCTCTGGTCACAAAAGATAATTCTCTATGGTGGCTGGTTGGGGACACTAGCTGAGGTGATGGATGTGCTTTCAGAAACAAGCCCGGAGTCTACGGAAATGTGACCTACTTCCTTGACTGGATATATGAACAAATACAGGTAAGATTTCAAATATAAATCCAAACTGTGTCACAGAAAATGTACTATTATTATTATTATTATTATTATACATGGCAGAAGAAAAACACCTCTTTTTGTATTTTTTCTTTTCAGAGATATTAACTATTTTTAATATAAAGATTTTTGAGAAGAGCAACTGATCCAAATCGCTGACTCTCAGGAACTGTAACAGTGTCCAAGAGACTTTTAATGTAAGATTGTTTTTTTATAGTCTTGTTTTTGTTTATTTTATTTTTTGCTTTCATATAAATGTTTTCACATAAATCTAAAATAACCAGTTATTTATTTTCACCAGTGTCAATAATGAAGTGAATTGCACATTATGCTACAATATGCACTTTTCTCTCTTTTTTTGTTGTATGTTTTGTATAAAGAGCACAATTGTAAATTTGTATATAATATTTGAACATATAAATTTGTAAAAATGTTGCAGTATCCGAGTCCATGTATAAAATTGCTGAAATATGAACATTTCAAATGTGAGATAGATAGATAGATAGATAGATAGATAACATTTTTATATAAAGATATTTGAAAATGGCGCAATTACACGGCAGCCTGGGAACCCATTTCATCTTCAGCTTTATTCTCGGTCTCTGCGAGAGGGAAGTGTTGGCAGGGGACCCACCGTGTGTTGACAAACAAACCTGCTTCCCGTGATTTTTTTTTCCACTGGGGAAAATATGCTGAGAGGTCCATAAACCCCAAAATGCCATGCTGATTTAGCCCGCTCTGGCCTGACTCGGGCTGCAGGAGAGCTTAGTTATGATAATGAATGGTTTTAAAGGATATATTATTGTCCAGGAAATGGTTTTATTCAGATAGTAAATGATAGGAAAATAGGGGGAATAAAATGTAATGAAAAACAATTTGAGAAGAGCAACTAGTTCAAACCACAGACACTGATTTTAACAATGTCAAATGGATATTTAATGTAAATTTATTTTATTTTATTTTATTTTACATTGAATTATTATATGCTGTTTTTATTTATTTATTTATAAATTATTATTATTAATTTAATTTTTTTCATTTTTTTTGTTTTGTTTGTCTTATCTACATCTGAAATATTTATTCATCAAGTGCATCAGGTAAAGTTAAAGGCTAAAAATAGATAAATAAAATTTGGGTTATTAAAGGGGTCATATGACGTTGCTAAAAAGAACATTATTTTGTGTGTATTTGGTGTAATGCAATGTGTCTATGCGGTTTAAGTTGAACAAAACACATTATTTTCCACATAATGTACATTATTGTTTTTCCTCCATGCCCCGCCTTTCTGAAACGTGTCAATTTTTACAAAGCTCATCGGTCTGAAAAGTGAGGTGTACGCTGATTGGCCAGCTATCCAGTGCGTTGTGATTGGCTGAATACCTCAAGCGTGTGACGGAAATGTTACGCCCCTTACCATACTGTGATGCCCTGTGTCCCGGCACGACAAGACAAAAACAATAAAACCCATTACAAACGAGGCATTTGTTGCATCCAGTGGGGACATAATTACTGATTATAATGACTTATACTGTCTTTTTACGCGTTGCGTATCGCGCTGCGTAAACATAAAACCATGTCTGGAGAAACGACAAACAACAAGTGCTACTCTACACTGCTCAAAACTCGCGTTTGAATCGTCAGTGGCAAATTCTTTAATTATAAAAAACTTACTTACAGGCTGAGTCAGAAGCGCCAGACTGTCATTGCAAAGTTGGAACTGCCCCACTTTATAGA